CTTTCTTCTTTTCTTCCTTTGGTTTTGGGATATAAATTGAACTCTTCCAATTTGCCAGCCACTAAGCTGTTAGAATGGAGCATTTCAAATCAAAACCCAGTACCTTTTTTAAAAAATCAGTGGAATTACAGCTTAGAGCCTCTGAAATGCAAACAAAATGCCTTTTAAAGTCTAGAGAAATTGTCATTTTGCTATATATTCAACTCACATTACATAACTTCTACATCATTATGTTAAGTGTAAATAAGTACAGTGAACAAGAACTTTTCATCAAATTTAAATCATAATAAAATATCTCCTCTTCTACTTACAAATGTGGTAATGATATAAAGTTTAGAATCTACACTTTTGAGTTGTTTCAAATAAGCTACGAATCAGAAATAATAACAGAAAACTGAAGAGCTGTTTCATGGTGTTTGCACCATGGGAGGATGTAGCAGGTAAATCCATTGAAAGAAGGTGACTTTCTTCACTCCTCTTGCTGTTCTTTTCCGAGGCATGTAGAGCTGTAGAGTAAAGCAGGATTTTGGCATGAGGCTCCTTGGGCTCCTCACTCCGATGGCACTCCTGGCCCACAGCCAGACTACATCTCTACTGGCCCCTAAAGGAAAAGGCTCAGTGCCCCACCAACCAGCACATTCATTCAGCAGGTTCTTCCAGGAGGCTGTAGCAGAAGTGATTTGCAACTATGCTCGATGGACTGACCAGTGGTATTCAGTACACAAAGGGGAAAACACAGGGAGTGTTAAGCAGTACTAAAGAGAGAATCTGTACATTTTGATTGTGCACTGTAGGTGCTCTGTAGATGCTCATCTTTTAAACGATAGTTTGGTTAAAAGATAATCTAATTTGTATATATTTGTATATATTTCTCTCCAAAATACAGGCAAATCAGATCTGTGTCACATTAAGGCAAAAAATTTGTGCCACTTCAGCCTGGTAATGTGAACGTAGCCTATGACAGTTATCTATGAAAATGGACAGAAGTATGTAGTGCAGCTAAACAGTAATAGAAACTCAATTTCACCCATGTTTATAGACAACAGTATGGCATACAGTGTCATTAGCAAGTCTATTTGAGATCTGAAGTAAGGCAGAAATTGTGTTGCCTTATATTTCCTCTAACCATAAACTCACACTAACCTTCACTCCAAACCTAATCCTAACACTTTTTATCATCAACTAAGTTCCACCAGATTGTTTGTTAGCAGTTTGAGCATTTGTAGATAAGCTATAAGGCAGCTGTTTCCAACCCTGGTCCTGGAGGACCCCCTGCACCCACACATTTTAGTGTTTGCCCTGCTCTCAACAGCCCTGATCCAACTAATCCACTAATTAACAAGCCCTTTCTGAGTCGAAGTGGGTATGTTTTGGTAGTAAAACAGAAAAAAATGTACAACCAAAATAATGTAGGACTGAGCAGGCCCTTGTGAAACTTCAAATGGCGCCTTTTGATTAAACTGAGATCCATATCAAATCAATTGTCCAAGTCATCTACTAGGTGTCGATGTCATGTAAACAGACAGGGCTCAGAGAAATACCATCAGTAAACAGATTCAAGGCTAAGTGGGAAACCCTGAATCATGGAATAGCATCTTTACATGCATTTCATCATTTTCACATAGGATCATGTGAAGTGAGCACATGGACAACTGAATTCCAGGTGAGGCATTAACATTTCTGGAGCTGGATTAGTTTTACCACTTGAAGTTTTGTAATGCGGGTTTGATGTGATTAAAGTGTCTGTACCATTTCCCAACAGACAGCAGGGGCTAACAGGCCATAGCCCGGTTGTTCATGTCAGGACACATTAAATAATAACACACCACACAGCTGTGTCTACTAGCAGGTTCTGTTATTCCCCTAGTATGATGTGGACTGAAAAAGTACTATTACTGAGGGAGCTCCAAATTCGCTCGACAGTTATTACTGTCAGACTGTAAAAACTACAAACACTGCAGATTCATATTGGATTAAAATGAATCTAGTTATTACTGTGAGAGTGTGAACACACTGCAGAATCATACTGGATTAAAATGAATCTAGTTATTACTGTGAGAGTGTGAACACAGTGCAGATTCATACTGGAGTAAAATGAATCTAGTTATTACTGTCTGAGTGTGAACAAACTGTACATTCATACTGGATTAAAATGAATCTAATTATTTCGGTCAGACTGTAGCATACACTGCAGATTCATACTGGATTAAAATGAATCTGGTTATTACTGTCTGAGTGTGAACACACTGCAGATTCATACTGGATTAAAATGAATCTGGTTATTACTGTCTGAGTGTGAACACACTGCAGATTCATACTGGTTTAAAATTTATCCAATTATTTTGGTCAAGTCAAATTTATTTATATAGCGCCTTTTACAACAGATGTTGTCACAAAGCAGCTTTACAGAGAATCCGGGTCCACACCCCCAGTGAGCAAGCCTTGGCGACAGTGCCAAGGAAAAACTCCCTCAACAGGAGGAAGAAACCTCGAGAGGAACCAGATTCAAAAGGGGAACCCATCCTCCTCTGGTCAACACCGGGTCAGACTGTAACACACTGCAGATTCATATTGGATAAAAATGAATCTAGTTATTACTGTCAGAGCATAAACACACTACTGCAAATTCATACTGGATTAAAATGAATCCAGTTATTATGGTCAGACTGTAAACACACTGCAGATTCATACTGGATTGAAATGAATGTTTATTACTATGAGTGTGAACACACTGCTGATTCATATTGGATTAAAATTACTCTAGTTATTACCGTCAGTGTGAACACACAGTGCAGACTCATACAGGATTAAAATCAGTCCACAATTATTGTGAGACTGTAAAAACTACATACGCTGCAGATTCATACTGGATTAAAATTAATCCAGTTATTGCCGTCAGAGTGTGAGTGTGCACTGCAGATTCATACTGGATTAAAATGAATCTAGTTATTACTGTCAGAGCATAAACACACTACTGCAGATTCATACTGGATTAAAATGAACCTAGTTATTACTGTCAGAGTGTGAGCATGCACTGCAAATTCATACTGGATTAAAATCGCTTCACATTTATTACCGTCAGACTTTAAAAACTACACATGCTGAATATTTACAGTGGATTAAAATCACTCCACAGTTATCATGGTCATACTGTACAAAATTAATCCAGTTATTACTGTCAGAGTGTGAACACACACTGCAGATTCATACTGGATTAAAATGTTGCCCCTGGTCATTTAGCCCCCAGGTAAAACCAGTCCAGCTCCATCAGGGTTATAAACACACATCACAAGCTTTATAATAAAAAAAAAACAAAAAAAACACACGTTTAAGATTCCATGCATCCTTTATTCCTTTACATAGCAATACAACATCCAGTGTGTTGCCCTGTAGCAACAGCCAACATAAAGAGAGTAATAATCTGTCTCACGGCACATTTAAGGCTTTATCATTTAATCTGAGGAAAAAAAAAAAAAATTACACTAGCACTGTTTGTACCAACTAGTTTTTCTTCTTTTTTCTGTATTATACTTGCATTCAGTGATTCCAGTGTCAAACTCATTAAAAAGGCTAAATACCATTTATTTCCTGTTTTACATATCTATAGAGAGGAGATAGGTGTGTACAGTACAGATTATCTTACAAACCAGCAGTAAAAGAGGTGTAAAGATAATATTAATAAGTACTGGAAAAAACATTGTAAAAACGTCAGTATCAAAAACAATGACGGGGCTCAGTTAGGGGTGTGTTCAGTCATTCTTTAAAAAGAGTCTCGATCAAAAAGACCAAGGAGGTTGAAAGAAGGGTCTTAGGACCCCCTCAGGACCCTTAGCAATGACATGAAAAAACAAGACGACATCCTGTTTACGCACACACACACACAAACCGCCACTGCTTCACCTTACAGCAATACACAGATTCAAACCCAGAAAAAAGTCACCCCACCTGCCCAAAAATGCCATCAACAGTCCAAAAGTTGCTTCATCACGCTGACAATCACACGGTAATTGCAGATGCTCCAATTAAACAATGGAGTTCCTTTGTTACCACGCAGGAAGTCAAAACATGTCCTAGCCTCCTAACGTCTAGTGCTACCCCTGAAACGTCTGAATACATTAACATTTGCAGAGCCGCTTTCTTACTACAAATGAAAAGTAAACCCTTCAAGCATCCTTATTGTTCTTCATCTAGCTACTTCGTCTTTGTTTTCAGGGGTGTGTGTCCTTTGCGGTGGAGTAGATGTCTGGAATGGAGAAGGAGCTGCAAAAGGTTGGAGAAATGGCTCAATGCGATCAGTGTTTCACTTTGTACCTTACTGTTGTTTTGCCAAAGTTCAGTTTCACAGTGATTATTTCTCATTTAAAAAGAGTAGCAGCTAGCATTAACCCCAAGAAAAGCCCACGCCCAAGAAATAACTGAGTTTGTTTTCCTCATCCGAAGAGTAGCAGCTAGCATTAACCCAGAGAGAACCGAAAAGGTGGAGCAAAACGTATTGAGGGCGTAAGGCTTGCTATATAGTGTTGGCGCTAAAACAAAGAAAAAGCGTAAAATTTCACATTTTTAATACCCTATTTAAGAAACCGACGTGGTATAGTGTAGTGTCTATGCAGAAACAACGCCCTGATTTATGTAGTAACACAAAGCACCATGCTCCAGAGCCAGACAGACTGCGAACCAGAAATCCTGCACAGTTCATAGTGGATCTCCTTCAATAAGGCAGGTTTTTCCAGTTCAGTTGCGACTGAGCAGTATTTTCCCTGGGCAGTATTCTTTCACCAGACAAACAAAGACATACAGCCGCGCACACAGACTGGCCTTGTAAAAACTCAGAGCGTTCTCAGCCGAAGAGAATTAAACGGAATGCCACGAAAACAATTCAAATCATCAGAGCATAAAAATAAAAGTAGTGGTCACCTGAAAACATCCGCACGATAAAAGTGCATCCATTAATTTACCCAACAAGGTTGGGTATTTACAAAACTTTAGGAGAAAAAAAAAAATCAGCTAAACAATTCAAAACACAAAATACATAAAGTCTGTGGTGCAAAAAACTTGAAATTTTCATCAGGTAGAAAAGAATACAAGGTTAATCAAAATCAGCAAAACTGTAAAACATTCTCCCCCCTGTAGAGATGGAAAGGCCCCGTTCTTTAATAATACCACCGCAGAGCCTTGAAGAGAAGAAGAGTTCAGATGGTTTTGTCTCAGCAAGTGCAAATACTTGATGGTGCTCCTCAGCCCTGGTTACAGAGAAGCTCATCAGAACATGTGCCTTGGTCTTGATGGTGCAGCTCAGGAGGTAGCCAGCTCAAAGGAGATGAACTGCTTCAGTCTCTCCAGATACTGAGCGTACAGCTCGATGTCGTTGTGCCCGGCGCCCTCCACCCACAGCGGCTCCACAGCGCGTGGGCAGCGCTCGTAGATGGCCAAACCGTGGGAGAAATCGATGACCTCGTCCTCCGTGCCGTGAATGACCAGAACTGGGGAGGCCACCTTCGAGACTTTGTCGATGCTGGAACACAAGAAGAAAGAGTCGCCAGATTAGACCAACTCATGTCTATATGGTTAAAACTAAAGATGTCTCAGTGTTTTTTGGCTTGGCTGTGCAAATTTAGCTGGCATAGAATGTTGCATGGTATGTATCCAATCTAGAACCACATACTAAAGTGACTCAGATCTGATCTGAAAAGATTCAATTTGTGTGTCCCCAGAGCTCTGGAACAGTAAAAAAAAACAAAAACAAACAAAAAAAAAAAACTCTCACATTAAGGCAAAAAAAATCAGATTTGTGCCACTTCAGCCTGGTAACGTGAACACAGCCTAAGACAGTTATCTATTAAAATGGACAAAAGTATGTAGTGTAGCTAGACAATAGCAGAAACCATCCTAATGCTTAAAGATGCATACTGAATTAAAACCACTCCACAATTATTACCGTCAGACTATAAAAACTACACACACTGCAGATTCATAATGGATTAAAAACACTCCACAATTATTACTGTCAGACTGTAAAAACTACCCCCACACACACACTGCAGATTCATAATGGATTAAAATCGTTCCACAATTACTGTCAGTACAACCCATCCACTATTTATAGCTTTTTAAGGCTGTACAAGAAACAGAGGCACAAACTTACTGTACAAATGACATCTTTAATAATATACTAATAAGAGATGCACAATATCAGAATCACATTAGTATTCACAGATTACTGCTGAAAAAAAAGTCCTTAATCAGACAAATATTCCTACTTCATAACAAACATTTTGTATCCAGAGTGAAGACAACAATGAAGAACAACAAAAAAATAATCAGAATAATGGCTATTCCATTCCAAACCACAGCAGAGATGCTGCCAGGCTTCAGCTGGTTAAACACATTATAATAAGGCATCAGCAATGTGATCACAAACACAGCATAAAGCAAGAGTTCAGAACCTTTAATGTCCAACAAATAACCATCTCAGTGTTCTGTAAGAACCACCTGTCAAGGCTAGAGGTGTTTGAGGAAACTGGCTGTGCGAAGTATTTCATGTTGCATCTTATCAATTAGGCATTCTAATTAATCCAGCACTCCACATGACTAATTATTGTTTAGCATTCTCATTAAAGCGCAGGCATCCCGACTGAGGTTAGCTGAAAGATTAATGTATGGAGCAGTCTAATGGGGCAATTACATTCTAGACAGAATGAGAGCACTGTCTACACACGGCTAAAACAAACCATTCAGTCTGGATTCCCTCAATTAAACTCAAATTCGTAAACAGCATGCTTATTTTATTTTCAATATGTAGGGCCAGGAGGTCATTTAGGGGCAGATTAGCTCTCACACAGGACTGTTTTGCTCACCGTTTTTTCTCCCACCCTATTTTCTGCTCTTTTCCATCCAGATTCAGTACTGGAGAGCAGATTCTATGTGAGAAACCAGCTATGCTAATCCATCTTTACCTTTTAAAACCTCATTACTGGCCCGGTCAGCTCTCCACTTGGCGTTGATGTATTTTTGCTCTTATATTCCTCCCCACAGTAGAGGGTGATTCATCCCTTCCTTGCTGTCACTCACTGTAATTCCAGAACATGCTTCCTAAATATGACTTTCATCCATTCAGGCAAAACTCAAAAAGTTGAATATCCAGAACGGGTAAAGTCTGAGAGTCATCTTCTTTTAGTGCTCAGTGATGCTGATAAAATTCAAAATCAAGATTTACATCAAAGTATTAAGCAATCAGATGATACTTTTGGTTTTATAGAGTAATTACACCTTAAATCCCATTTATTCATTAACTTAAACTTAAAAGGTCCATATCATGGAAAACTGAACTTTACTTGCTTATTTTACAGAGATGAGTATGAAGTAAACAAAAATGAAACCACCTTGGGAGCCACAACATTTTATGTCTGTTTTACCAACTTGGCTGTAAATATGTCAGCATGTGCTAATATACTAGTAAAGGCTAAAAAATACAAAATGACAAAAATGCAGACCTACTTTGCTTTAACCTTTAGCTCAGCTATAGCTGCTTTTCTCACTTCTCTCGCAGGATACTTTTCCAAGAAAATAGAGTTTCTTGTAAAATGTCTTTCAACCTCCTTGCCGTTGCATATAAACAGTCCATTTTGAACCCACTGTTTCTGTGATGCCACAAGAACTCATTTTCATATATCCATATAACCTATTCAACCTACTGCAGCTTAGTTCCACCCATTCACACCTAAGTTCCGAGGGGTGTTTCAGCTCTGACTGCTTTTTGAATGAATCACAGTACAAGACAGTCAATCAAAACTGAGCTCATTTACACCAATTAATCTTAAATGCACTGTAACAAAAAGCCTGTTTAATTACAATGGCTAGAGAGTTTGGAAAATGGTCATGCAACAAGGAATTATGACCATTTTTGGCACATAAAGCAAACAAAATGTTACAAGTGGACCACAGGAGGAAAAAATAAAAGAAAATGGAGAATACAGGTCCTTTAAATATGCTGCTTTGCAATAATAAATGACATCAGTCTTGCTTAAATGTTAACACTTATTTTTTAAACTGTCCAAATCATTATTGTGGTCAGTAAAGCTTTGGCAGCGCCCCTCGGGAGCAACCCTGCTGTAGGTGAGCATGATGTTGATCAGAACTAGATGAATTACTCTAGTCACAATATGCATATCATCTAACCATCGTTACCACCCCCCAAACAAATGAGTGTGCAATATAAGAAATGGACTGAGACTCTCCTCCCTTATGTTAATTAACGTCTTTCTGCAGACCCCCAGTGGCCATTTCACTAGCAGAGAGGAAACTGACTTGAATACTTTTAATTAAAAATTAATTAATGTAATCAAATGAAAATGTGTTCCCCTCTTATCAGATATAATTGGACGTTGTTGTCTCTCTGTGTGTGAAATGTTGTGACTGTGTTGAACTGCCAGTGAGCAATGAGGGGTGAACAGGGAGGAATGAAATCCCCCATCTGTGAAAAACTATTCACAACTTTCCTCAAAGACGACTGTACCAAGATAAGACAAGTGCAGCTCTCTTCAAATCAAACAATCCTGCACAACTGTTATAAAAATAGCAATAAAACACTTATAAATGTGTACTTGTCTGCTCACCACAAAGACAAAAATTAATTTAAATAAAAACACTCAAATGATACTAATTTGCTTGCTCAGAAAAATCCAATTTGCTTCTGGTTTTGTAAATGTATAAATTTTATAGAAGAAAAAAAAACAACAAAGGCAACATTCTACCAGTGACTTTTGAAACAGCTAAGCGGAAACGGCACTTGCTGGCTGTAAAGTAAAGATTTAAGAGTAAATCCATTTATATAAAACACACTTTCACCTTTTTTTTACCTGTTGTATCAGAAATCATCTTAAATAAGGCTAATTTCTGCTTGCCTTTCTACGAGGTGTCACATATTACCATCAAGTTAATGATCATGAATGTTCACTTTTCCACACCAGGTTTAATATGTCCTGCTTAAACACAAGATGAGTTTCTTTCACATATTGAAATGTATAGAAGAGCATTAGTTTGATAATTTAACTTGTCATTGAGCTTCATTATGCTTATAATCTGAGTTCAGATACTGCAGGATAAGCAAATTAGCTCATAAAGCTCAGAGCCTGCACTTCACACAAATCAGTGCCTAATCCTAACCCAAATGCACACGCTTAAACCAAGCATCCTCCAGATCTTTTGCCTTATAGTTTTAGTAACATTGTGGACATCAATGTGTGGACTTTGAGGAAGCTTGCAGGGCTTAAGATGCATTTGGGACTGGGCTCCAGTATATCTGTATGCTCAGATATTTGCACCCATTCTGTCTCTCTTTTCAGGCTGGTAAGATAAGATGAAATATTTTGTAAAGGCAAGCATGCGTTTCATCAGCATCACTGTAATCATGCTACCAGGCTGCACATTTAAGGTGTCAGTATTTTTTTTTCCAGTTTTCTTTTCGCCGTTGTAGCACCCACTGCTTTCCTCACCTGAATAGTCTGAAGTGTCCTTACCATTTCTGAGCATTTCTCAAAGGTGATCTGTGGTTAAAATTATGTGAAACAAGGGGTGTGTCGTTAATTATCCTTAATAAAGATACCTAACTTATGCTTCCTGAGTAACGCTACCCTATGCTAAAAGAATACCTTACAAACCTGATGCAGTTCATCTGACTTGACTGTGTTATTCTGTACACCAACGGCACTTTCAAAACAGTCTCAAGCAGCCAGCAAATGACACATACAGTGGTTAGCAGAGTTTGTTAACTATCAATACTGCCAAAACTAAAACTCAATATGTCCAATACCAATATTGATATATACTCTTGAAAATGGTTTGTGGCTTTGACATAAACTTTAATTGGTAGGTTATAGAACCTATGAGTTATGCGGGGGTTCTTTCAACTTTGCAAAAGGTTCTTTACGCTTACATCACCTATAGAAAAAAGGTTATTTACACTTACAGTTGCTCTTACAGACTCACATTACAGATGGAGGTGAACGTAGCATTAGGAGTCTTGCCCAAGGACTCGTGCAACAGCAGATGGTCCTTCATAGTGCGCTTGGCCAGATGGTAAATTAAACCCCAGACTGATATGTGGAGGACAGCGGAATTACCCACCCTGCTATAATAACCCACTTTCAGAGCGATCCATAGAAATTTTTTTAGGGGAAACTAAAGTGGTCCTTCTATTGGCACTGCTCCAAAGAATGCTTTTTTTTGGGCAGCTTTTTTTCTGAGTGTACACAATATCGGCCAGCGCTAACATCTTTCAAAGTTCAGCCAAGGTGGTCCAGTCTGGTCTGCTTGAAAAATGAAACAAATCATGCGACTGCAGTTTGCCAACAGAACAAAAACAGAATAAATGTCCCCATTTCTTTCCAAACGACCTTAACTTTTTACGCCAAGTCCTCCCGACTTCCCCCTCTCTCTGGCCCTGCCATTCTGGATGCAGTTTTAATATTCCAAACCACGCCACACTGCAGCCCAAAAATCCACAGAGACGGCCTAGTCATTAAACTTTCATACAGCCTGACTGTCCATTCACGGCACTCCCCCACCACACACACACACACCGCTCTGAGTGTCGGATTTGGCAAAGCGGAGGCGCTGAGAGTCAGTGGCTGGAACCGAAATCCACAGCCAGCTGCCTGGAGTTCCACACACACAGACAGGGATGGTGTAGTGGAATGTCATTCGCGTTTCAGAATCCATCAGAGTGCGTCTGAGCTTAAATCCAGCAGTGTGCTGTGGGGGACAGGCATGTGACGGAACCAGACATGACTACAACCGGATACCCAGTCTCAGCATCGGGGCGATGGCTGGAGAAAATACGGTTTATTCTCACACTTCAAATACTGGGACAAGGGATGCAAAAATGGTAAATTGTTAGCAATTAATCACTGAAAAATGTAAAATAAGCAAGGCATATAATACAGAAAATAAAAAACGCACACACGCCTATGCGCATATATATATATATATATATATTTTTATTTGATTTACGATCCCATCTGACAGATCATAATTTGCTTAGGTCTATCAGCACCAGTCCTAGGAAAACCCTTTAGTAAGTATGGAACCTTCACATCCTGTGTAAAAAGGCTTTTCGCATTTGCTCTCGTGTTCTGAAGTGGTTATATATTTTGCTACCTTATTTTAAAAATACAATATTAACACGCATCATAAAAATTTGAGAAATGATCCAGCATGCACAATAATAGACAAACCTTCATAAATTAAACAGCACATACATATACTACAGATGTACGACAGGTTGTGTGAGAGGAAACGTTGCAAGTGAGCTGGGGTCTGTGCTAGGCTGAAGGCTAATCTCCAAAGACCGGCCGTGCCTTTCATATTAATCTCATACATGCGCTTGCATGGACCTCCGCCTGCTTTCTGTGCTGTACATTAATTTGAAACATGACTAAAACATCCCTGACTCAGCCATTCACTAAACAAGCTAACGTCAGCATGTTGTGTTTGTACGTTCTTTTATCTGTGCCTATTTGTGTGAGTAGCTTAGTTATTTCTACTGGACTTGCTTATGATCTGCCACTGTATGGCATACAATATCTATAAAACATGGAAAAAAAATGTCTCTTCTAGCTTAAAAAAAAAAAAAAAAAAACCAACAACTAGCATTTATATACATAGTGTGGAAATATTGTGCAAATTAGATTTTTTCGCTGTACTATTCCTTCAATGAAATCAACATCTAAACCTACTGACCAACCTGTAGCTGCACCAAAACAATGTGCATTCTAGCACTCGAGGTTTTATTTTGAGTTGAAAAGCAGCTCAGTGCCAATCACAAAACCTTCTCTGTAATGAATGGAAGGTTTGCACACCACCTTAAAACAACCAGTACTATCTTACTGAGGCTAACATAATGAAGCTACTATAATGAGGCACTAACACAGACACTGAAGTGAGCAGAAGACTCGGGCCTATTCATCCACCAAAAGAGAGACGGAACCAGAGAGACAGCATGTGTGAAAAACACTTCTATAACAAGAGAGCGGGTCCATAGCAATCATTAATTTTCACTTCCGTGCAGTCTGAACTAGAGTGAGAATAAAAGAGGAGAAGAGTGGCAGCGAGAGAGAAAAATGAATTCTGTCAGCTAGTTTTTGATTCGCTCTCAGCGTCTGATCACAGCTGGAGTGCTAAACACCATCCGGCAAAGCATGACACAAATGCAAGATATTACACTCCTTTTAAGTTTTAAGTGTACTTTAATTTGACCCAATTGTGAATATGGATTATGGGGAAGTTCAATGCTTTTTTCCTGTTTTTAAAAACAGCATAGGTGCACAGTTTAGTTATAGTGACAACATGCCCTGCATTCCATGCAAAATGATCATGTTAATTGTGTAGTAATCATGACTAACAGTAGGTGTGGGCGTTTTGGGTTCAAATGTACATCACAGTATTACAAAGGAACCAGGATGACAACTATTAACGTTTTTTCTGCAAATGTTAATGCAGTTACTTTATATTTTATGAACTTCAAAATTAAAAAAAAAATAGTAATAGCAAAAATAAACTATAGATCTTAACTCGTTAGGCCTTAAATGCCTGGTTAGGACTGCTTAAGACTCTTCAAATGGAAAAACCACTGACAGAAGTAGAGAAGACCACAGACACCTGGACACACACATCCTGAGTTCATGCTTAACCTGGCTGGCTAGTTTGCCATCTGACATGTAGCTGTGCTGTGGTAGTTTATCTTGTGTTACTAATTAAACTTTTACAGTTACACTCTACAGCTAATTCCCATTACGATAAAGTAATCGAAAAAATCTGCTCAATTTACTTTTACCGGTGAATGTTTGTGCTGCATAGAATATAAAGGTCTGAATGGCTCCCTCCTCTTTGAGTGTCCTCCAGAAAGTTGCGTCATGACTGGTATATCAGAGTTTCTGAAGTTGTGCGTGTTTTCTGTATTTGCAGCCCGTTTGTGAAATGTAGCGCCATGTCTTCATTTGGATTAAAGTGCTTTCTGAGTTGCAGAGTGTCTACCAATTTGCAGTGTCCTTACTGTCATTTTGATGAGTGTTTTCTGCGTTTGCAGCTTGTTTTTATTTGCAGTTTGTAGGATGTTCTCGGCCACAATAGTTTTTGCTTTTACAAGAATTTTTCTAGTGGCACGCTACACGCGGCAAGCAGCAAAAAACAGACTTTGTGCACACATCTCGGTCACGCTGTTGCACACGTCAGATATAAAATGCCACACTGATTAATGTAGGAGCAACTGCAACCAAGACTTAATGGTGCAGGTACCACTTCAGATCTAAAGTACTATTTTGTTGAGTTCATAAGAATTATTTATGCTGTTCACGCTTATGTTCAGTATGTCTTAGGGACGGCGTGTGGTTAGCCAATTTTATAAATAAATAGATAAAATAATGAGACGTCATACTGGTACACATTCTATTCCATAAAGTATCAGTGCATCTGTTGTCAAGCAGTATAACTGTCATTTGTCTTCTGTCTTAAAAGAGCAGTTTATAAACGATTATATGAATATAAATGATTTACCAGCTTTGTGGGAGAGAAAAAAAATTCTTATAATAGGTAGGACAAATGGATGACCTCCACCACCATGGAAACACATGTGGAGTAGTTCTCATATGAATAAAAGATACCAAATCATTATAATAGACCTTTGTAACCATAGGCAACCTTTTAATGTGTTTCTCATTTCTACTGTCTTTTTCTCTTCTCTGTTTCCCCTTTGATGTAGGTCTGGTTGTGTATGGCTCTTCACACACCTTGAAATAAAACCTCAATAAACATTAAAATGTCAAAAAATGTTTGTAATGTTTAGCACAAAATACCAGCATGAAAGAAGCATTATTGTCAAGTTAATGAATATTTATGCATTAATTAAGGAATCACACTGCAAACTGTCACTACTTTATTAATGCAAACTTTAATATCATGTGAAACTGTGAGAGTGATATTTGGGAAACAGTGATATTAATATTTCTCAGTACCGACCAGCACCAGTCACAAGCACTGTCAACAATATTTTACATTATTTCAGGTTTAAAAACATTGGAAGTTGAGAGGTACAGATTACAATCTTTGCACAGACTATGCTAGCTTTTCTTATTTTATGTTTCATATTTTATTTTGTCCCTCAGGTCCACTTATAACATTTGTGTGGTTTTATGTAGCAAAAAGATGAATTAAGATTCATTTTTATATGACCATTTTCTAAACTCTCTTTATCCCTTACAACTAAACAGGCTGTTGTTGTTGTTACTGTGCCTTTAAGACTGATAAACAGAAATGAGCTCTGTTCTGATTGGCTGCCCTGCCCTGAGCTCCATTCAAAAAGAAGTCGGGCTGAAACACTGCTTATAACTTCAGAGTGAGTGGGCGGGGCTAAACTGCTGTCAGCTGAATAGGTGGATATATGGAAATGATGGATGTGTTGTATGTGTTGGATTTCATGACATCACAGACACAGTAATGGTATGTTTTAAAACTTTAGCAATGTTTACATATTATAACCAAACTTTAACCAAAATTTTAGTCTTCTTTTGGACCCTTTAAACAGATTGGGTCAAAACCTCTGAGTGATGCAACCTAACCCAAGCCAATCTGTGCAGCCGTTTTCCGGGTAATGCCTATGGACACTCCCACCTCGACTTTCAATCTTCGAATCACGTACTCCGATTGGCTGTGGCTCACTATCCAGAGCCAATGAAATGCTGAATATACATCGCATGACATGTCACAAACAAAGACTAATCTATATAACAAAACAGTTAAACAAGCATCGTGGCAAAACAAATGTTTTCTATAAATTTATGGTGTAGGTTTACACAGGAAGTAAACAACCCACAACGACAAACTTGGGCTTGCATTTTAGCACCATCTCTGTATCTCTCACTACTGAGGAGCAGCGATGCTCTAAACACAGCATCATGGTATGCTGTCTAGCCGGCGAGATGACCGGTTCTAAAGGGTTAATGTATTTTGTTCCTGTTATATAAAAGTCATGCCAAAAAATTACTGATAACCGGTGCGGTTTGGCAGCAGTGGGGTGACTTAACCATGAAGCTCACACCGCAGTTAGCAACCTGGCCAACTCGTCTAAAGCAAAAAGTAAAACCACAAAAGTAAAAATAACACTCCCGACTCCCAGTCTCCCGACTGACTGCGAATGATACAGCCTCCCTTTATGTTTATTTATAGCCAGTGGGGAAGAAATGGTAAAAGGTTTTTGCTTAGTCTCTGGTTAAATTAATGTTTCCTTTGTTTTGGAGAGTCTGTGAGATGAAGGGTCATCCCTTCAGAGGTCAACACAGCCAAAGCAGTAGTTTGATAGTACATGTAAATTTGCATTTGTAAAACTTTTTCTCACCGGACGTCTGTGGTGCAAAACTGCCCAGTGCTGTGAATTCCACTGAAACAAATGTCATTTTGCTGATGAAACTTTGCTGCCAAATCCAAGTGTGACTGGACCTTAAGGAAAATAGCAGAAATGCATTGTATTGGACTTCCAATACCCAGAAAGAGAAAGAACTACACTGTAACTTTATATGATGCACTCAACTTTTATTTAGTCTATTTATGCTGCATGTTTCCCCTCTCTCCCTCAACACTTCAATTTCCCCAATTGGATTTTGAACCACAGAGCCTCGATTTAGCTTTTACTTTCACAAATTCTGACTCCTACCCCTAGTATAGATCAAGATGTGAGTGATTAAGCGTATTCCAGATCAGCTTTGCAATGTATCCTAAATCCTAAAATCTAATCAGAGCGTTCAGGAAATCATATAAGAATGGCGCTGTAATGAAACCACTTTGCCAAGGTCCACGTCCAGCGCCCTAGAAAAGCCGGCTATTTTTATCAGTGTCGGGAAGTTGGTCACGTCACAGAAAGAAGGAAAAAATCTTTCATCAGTTAGCGGTTGAAAGGTTTCTGAGAGGAGAGGGGAAGCCCTGTGATCTGCACACAGTTGCAGCCCTAGAGAGCAGCCTAAAGTAGCACCATGAGGGTGGCTATTTAACTGGACAGTGCAGTGCCCTCATTCATGAAGGGTTACTGTAATGCTACACTGAAATGCCATAATCATATAAATAAGCAGAGCTAAAGTACAGGCTCTTCAAATGAAACAGTCATTCAATAATAAACCAAAATGAACTCACCTCTTTCCTCATATCCTAACAAGCTTTAGCAGCGGTACATATTTTTAGTATTAGTGTATTCCCGAGCAACAAAAGTGAAAGAAAGAAGTGGGTTCATGTAAAATACAGCCCTGATTTGAACGAAAGTAAACTGAGGAAGCTGTGAGGCATTGGAGAGATCTTTCCAGGCTAGCTGTTTTTAGCAGCTGGCTAACTTGAAGCAGCGCTGTCACTCGCACAACACGGAGAATTGATGATACTGTAGATCAAACAAGACACAAAAGCACCGCTTTCAGTTTAAACGTGCCTAAAAGGAGGACTCTGTCTGGTGTTGATATTTTGCGGTTCACCCCTTAAACTACTACGATAGTACAGAGAAATCCAGCTGTCGCTAGCTGGTGTTGTGAATACTGTGATGTCATTTGTAACAGGGTAGCCGAGCGCTCGTCACCAGCTAAAAATAATCTGTTTTCTTTCTTAAATTATAAATATTACAAAATTTTTTTCAGCTGGTAAAAACAGCTTACCAGATACATTCTCCCACTCTCCCATGACAGATTTGTGAAATGTTCCTCTGTTTGGCGAGGGTTTGTCGTGTTCCGACCATAAAGGATAGTTTAAAACAGCAATTAACCACCCAGGACCAAAAAAACAGCCTTCAAACTATCGCGGTATGTATCGATATCGAACGATATGAATTTTGTTTATCGTGATAACATTTTTGGCCATATTGCCCAGATCTAGTATAAGGTATGTAGGAAAATAAATAAAGTGCCATAATTTTAGCGCAGTAACCCAGCATCCTCTAAACCAGGGATTGGCAACCCAAATGCTAAGAAGAGCCATTTTGTCCTTTCAACAAAAATCAAACCACCTTGGGAGCCACAGCATTTTATGTCCATTTGACCATCTTGGCTGTAAATGTGTCTATATTTGTTAATGAGCTAGTGTGCTAGTATAGGCTAAAAATATAATATAAACTTAATAACATAATAGACTTACTTTGCTCTGCTATAAGCTTTAGTTCTGCCATAGCCGCATTTCTCACATCTCCGGCAGAAAACCTTTCCGCAAAAGTGAAATAATTTCTTGTAAAATGTCTCAATGTTCAATTTTTTACGAGGCTGAATTCAGCTTCTCATTTACCAGTGTCTTGTTCTAATTTTCCCGTTCCACCTTAAATGGTGCCTGAGGTGCCAGAATGCAACTGCTGCACCATTTAATGTGGAACGGGAAAATTCGAACAAGAAACTGGCGAATGAGATGTTGACTTGAGCTTCATGACTTTTTAGTGTTTGACAGTGTCTCGCTGTAGATTAAAGGTATCAGGAAACCAGCTGAGTATTTATAAGTGAAAATAAGTGCATTTGTCTCCAAATTATCAATGTTCATTTTAAATCCCGATCTTTGGAAGTATCTGCCGATACCGACATCATTCTGATATTATCGTGAATCCTTAATGGAAGGCATAAAATTCACCAGCACCAGAGTTGGCAAAAATATCAAAACGCATTATCACGATAGATTATTTTTAGTACTAGTTCTCAAAACCCACCCTGAAAAACAAGCGCAGTGGGATATGGGATATTTATTTTTTTTTTGGTTTGATAAATTGGTATAGCCTGAATGCACGAGCACAGTGAAGAACAGAAGTGAGAACAATGATTTTTATTCAAATGTTTCACATGCTATGCTGCACTAAATACAATTAAACAGGACTAAAATGCTCTTTGAAACGATACATGCAGTTGGACAGTGAGTTTTATTATCTACGTATTTAAATATCAATAATATCATTTAAATATCAATAATTTCTTTGAAATATTACTCATATGAACGTACTCCAATAAAGGATGGCAGGCTTTAGGAGATTGTCAACATCAACATATCCATTAGAATATATTCTAAAAATACATGTATAAATGTATTTGCATTTTTTGGTAGTTTAATGAACTGCAATAGTGTTTACTTCACTAATACAAAGCTTAGCTGTGTGAGGAAAGGTTACACACAGTTTGAAAGTTTATGAAACAGCCTGATAAACTCAGGATTTGTGTATTAAATAAGCTGTAGGCTAGACCTCAGCTTTATTCAGATAAAAAGCTAAATCCGACTTTTTCTCCCTCCACATATCCATATCTACACCTTGTAAATGGATGGAAACCCCCTCACTACATGAGCAGATTTTATTTTGCAGAAAAGATCAGAGGATGTGTCGCTGACTGCCTAACACTGTAGAATACAAACTGACTTCCACCATGGCAGCAGCAGCACGCAGCCAATCTGTCTGCAATTTGCAAAGCTTTATACTGACTCATCAAAGGTCTCAAACTACAAGATAATGTGTTCCGACTGTCAGCCCAGCTGAGCCTCTGAGGAGCAATTTTCATTCTGATCTTGAAAATTTTGTCAAGATTTGTTGGAAAATCGGGGCTCAAATTAGATAAAATCTCCTGTAAAGTGCACCCGGCTTAAAGCATCACTGAGAATATACTTCACACCTGTTTCTCTCTCCACACCGCTAATGAACAAAGCTCCACATGAACATGCAAAAGGAGCTCAAAAGAACTCTTAGAAATAAAAATTTATCATCATTGTTTGGACAATAAATTTCAAATAATCATCTGGTTACTCAGACAGGTGCCTCACACAACTAACCTATACACAATAGGGCTTCACCAAAATATAGGATGACCAATATCAGTGGGCAGTACCGAGGTTTTGCATGTTTATTTGTGTCAGTAAAAATCCCACTGATATGTAGTGTCAAGGGGTGTAACAACAATTTCCAAAATTCATTAATCACAATGATATGATAGTGTTGTCTCAATACAGCTTTCGACACAGCAAAAATACAGTGGTTGAAAATGTGCCTTACAATGATTTTTCTATTTTCAGTTCATTACAGCATTCAACTTCATACAAGCACAGAATATGAAACAAAAGCTGTGCTTTATAGTATCCCGATCTTACATTCCAGCTAATATGACCCAAGCTAAAACATCAACCACATGCTAACATTCTAGTCACAATATGCTGCAACACAATTTGTTGTACAGATTACATTAGTGTCTTGTTTGATAAAAAACAATAACCAGTTGTGACTGGTTCGAGCGCTCACTTCAGTCTTCTGTGATATCCATTTTTTTTAAAATGTCACAATAGCAATCAACAAACAGCACAACGTATAGGATAAAATCAATAAACTGGCATGAAATTATCATATTATCTACAGATATTCATTATTTAAAAACAGTATTTTCCAATTCATACCAAGTTTTAATGTCAGTCTAATCAATAAATCCTAATATTGTGCAGGCCAAACTTGGTCTGTCTGTTGCAGTGGTTCATACATGCTGAACATCGTATATCATGGAAGTGTATTTATAATCAATAAAACTATTTTAGATGCTTTATTTTTGTTGGTTAACAATAGCTCATTCTTGTTTCTTTTCCCCTTTACGTTTGATAAGAACCACATTTAACAACTTAATTTAAAATATTTTTATCATGCAAAACAGTACAAAACAGAACTACACCAAAGTAAATATACAGACTATACCTACGGTACACGTAAGCACACAGCAGCTTTTCTAGGCCTGACAAAAATGTTGCTAAATACTGTTTTATGTCTGAATTTCTAAAGTCATTTGTCTCATACATGCTTCCCATTCACCTCACATCTATAACAGCCTTGGCTGGATTTTGGTAAATATTATGTTGTTCACATTGCCAGGGTCGAGAGTGTCACTGTCCCGTGGAGGACTCGCAACACAAAACAGAAGCAGGTCTGGCAAACCCCAAGAGACTGGCTGTTCCTTCTGTCTGTCTCTCTCTCTCTTTTGACAACAAACTGGACTGATGTTTCCATTACAAAGGTAGAATAAAGATACTATACTGGATGAACTGGTAAACCACCCACTAGAGGTCTGCACTGCCACGGGTCCAGCAGGAACCCACCACATCTTGCAACGTGGGACTAATTTTCAGTATTGTGCGTGGGAGTGGGCAGTAACCAGCCCACTGTTGGTGGGAGTGGGATGAACTACGCATGAAATCTCGCAAATTAATGAACAGCCTAAATAAAGTATAATGATCACAAAACCATATATATGTGTAAAAATATAAAATCATAACAGTAACAATTAAACTAAATGATGATGCTGCTCAGCTCAGTAAAATACCAAAAGTCGATTGTGTTGACTGGGAATAAATGGTGTATGGTGAAGTTACTTCACAGTAAGCCTGATGACCATGACTGGCGTGTTATTTCAGCAGAGAATAATGTATTTGTGAATAGACTATGTCAAATTTTGGATGCATGGGTGGGAGCAGGTCAAAACATTTCAGTTGCGCATGGAAGCAGGAGTGGTATGAAATCTTGTGGAAGCGGCCTGAAAAAACACCAACGATAACACTACACTAATTTATTGGTTTATTTATTTACCAGAGACAATACCTATCAATCAAAACAAAGTAAATTGCCACTGTTAGCCAACTAGCTAATTGTTAACTTCTGTTTTCACTATATAGTAAAGTTTATTTATATACTGAACGTAATGCAATCTGATGAAAGTACAAAGGCCTATTTGTGGGCTAGCTTTTTTGTGCACATGCTTGACAACAAGACCAAACAAACCAGGCTTAAAGCCTGGGCGATCTGAACTGTAATGCCGTATCAGTATCAGAGAAGCGGGTCAATGTTAAGCCCTAAAATCCGACAGCCCTGACATGCTGCCATCGTGCTGCAATACTGAGTGTGTGCACTGCAGTCTCACAAGCCAAATACTCACAAGTGAAGCTGTTAATTACGTACTTGTGATACCCAGACAGAGCTGGCATGTGAAAGAACCTTCACCAAAGATTCCTCTCAACGCTTGGAATAGCATAGAAGACCACGATGAACAGCTGCTCTACACCCTCTTCTCACAATCACAAACCTTACATGATGAGTAGCAGCAGAAAGAAACCATTACAGCCCAATTTACACCTTGGTTTCTCTCAAGCAGACACAAATGTGCAAGTGCTGATGTTATTGTTCCACATTTAAGCTACAGTTTTAAGGCTCCTTGGCATTTCAAGACTTTCAAAAGGCAGAACGGATCAGGCGGAATGAAATGAGAGATCTGACAGAATGAAATGACTGCATCAGAGGTATGGAAAGCATCCTTGTACGTACAGCCTGTGGGTATGGTGCGATTTAACTCAGTGCAGCAAGTATAAGCCAGTTCCTGAATTAGCCTATTACACACACCTCCACAAGCGCAGAACAGCAATTTAATAAATTCTGCTGATAGAAGAGGGGGAAGAAGAGCCGGGCAGTCTAGATATGATTGCAGCATGTGGCTAGTCCATGCAACACTTACCTACTCAACAGATGTCCATAAATCCTTATATTTATACATTTCCACTTTAAATATTTTAGTAAAAACTGTTCTGTGTGTTTGTATATAACACGTGTTCTAGCAGAGGGGTTGGTAACCCAAATGTTAAGAAGAGCCATTTTTCTTCCTTTCAACAAAAATCAATCTGCCTTGGGAGCCATAACAGTATATGTTAATTTATTTAAGTAACGTTTTACCATCTTGCCTGTAAATATGTCTCAGTGTGTGCTAATGTCCTAGTTTAGGCTAAAAAAAAATTATGTTTTGCCGACCCCTGTTCTAGCACCTGCCACAGATGCTTGATTGGACTGGGGAATTTGGAGGCCAGGCCATCAATGTGATTTTAAAGGAAAATGGGGCTCATCGGACCGGGTGACCTTCTTCCATTGCTCCAATGTCCAGTTCTGGCGCTCATGTGTCCATTGCAGGCTCTTTCGATGGTAGACAAGGGTCAGTATGGGGGCACTGATGGATCTGTGACTACATTTCTGTATGTTAACAATGGTTTATAAGGCCCGAAACATACTTCAGGCAGGGATGCGAACGCAAACACTTTGAGCTACACAGATGGGGTTTCGCATGTAGTTGCGTTCAAAAATGTGTCACAACGCATTTCTTAATGCAACGCACGCTGCAATTTAAAGCGTTACTGCATGGGCCGCTATAACGACACCAAGCCTGTCCAAGTGTGCTTTCTCAGCTGCCATAGCAGACGAGCATTTAAGTCTCACGCAAAGATGGCTTACATAAACATAAAAAAAATGATACATTATCGCCTTTCCATTCTAAGAGAAGAGGTAAAGCAGGTCACTGTCCTCTACTGTCCATGTGTAGCTGTTGAGGCTGCTGGAACAGAAGTAGATCCCTCTGCATACACACTGGCACGCAGCATCATCTCTGGCCCCATAAAAATGATGCTAAATATTTAATGGCCAAATTTCTCAAGTTATTTGTATCACATATGTATCCTGTTCACTCATATTTACATCTACAAGTCAGCCACTGCTGGAGCTTAGTAAATACTACAGTCATTCAAGCTATCAGCAGCAGCTGTTGAGCTGTGGATTCTTGGCTTGATATAAAGACCAGGCAGACAGAGCCACAACGGTGACACTAGAAGACAAAACAGTAGCGCCGCTAGTGGGCTGCTATGGTGGAATCTAACCCCAGGCCAAAAATCCACTGCTATCCCAAGAGACTGGTTGTTTCTTCCATATATCTCTAATGTTGACCAACGTTTTCCCAACCAAACTATATTATACTACAACCTTATTCTAATACCTGAATAAGTACACATATACTAAGATAAGTTTGGATGTCCTTACATCCTGAAATAACCATGCTCATTTCAACTTCACACATTTAGCCTGTGTGCATAGCATCCTTTAATTCCGACAGTGCAGCAATCTTCCTAATTAGCCCTTTACATACATCCACTAGTACAAAACAGCAATGTGATCAACTCTGCTGATGGAAGACAAGCCGGGTGGTCTGTACACGACTGTGTGTGTGGCTATTTGCAGGAGCAGTCAACAGAACTGCACATAAAAATGAAGCACCATTAAGAAAAGGCCTTATTTAATGGCCACAGGTGCAGAATGGTACATGGTGATGAAAAATGGGGAAATCTATTTGTTTGCTGCAGTGCTGACGTCAACTATGGCTGCTTCCACTGTCAGATTCACAATGAGCCAGGAACAAAGTTGACACAAGGTCTATAAAATAAATAAAGCAAATTTGTGCAAGTACAAATTTGATTTTTCACCCACTCAAGGATGCCACACCGCTTCACTATGTTTTATAACATACTATATATATATAAAAAAAAAAAGCTCATTCTGTTCTGAAACCATTACTTGCATTTCAAATCACAGCCAATCTGGGTAATCAGCAGCTTTCAACCAGTCATGCCCTATATATCTTAGCATCTATAAAATACACACACACAAACATATATATATGTGTGTGTGTGTGTGTGTGTATATATATATATATATATATATATATATATATATATATATATATATATATATATATATATATATATATATATTTTTTTTTGTATATATACATATTTTTTTTATATATATACACACACACACAAACTACACACAGCAGCCAGATTTCATGATACATGGACCAATAGACACTTGGAATAAAATGTCAATGTTAACATTCATTTATAATTTAGTTAGATAGTTTTTGCCTTCTCCCATAAAGTTACAATTTTGGAGATGCCTTTTTTATGCTTTTTGGTTAGCTACAGATTAAAGCCTGCATTACTTTGATGAAAATAACTTTGTTCGTTGCATTATGTGAATACCCTCATCAGAACACCCACAGAAACACTCACCTGTAACTGTGACTGGTGAAGTGGCTCACAGCACACAGTTAAAGCCATTGTGATTGTTTGCAGTGGCAAGATTCCGTTTAACAAACAACACATGCAGCCCTGCTCTACCACTTAAACTCAGAACAGAACAGTTAATGGGCTGATGAGTTGTATCAGGGGTGTTAAAGCAGCAAAAACACAAAAAAGTGTAAAAGAGGGCTCTCCAGGATGAAGAACCTCTTAAGTAAATTCTGAATGCGTAGTACTGGTCAGGGCTCCATGTGGTCTCACTGAATGGCTGAATGACCCACCTGGGGAAGGCGTCGAAGCAGTAGGTCTTGCGCGTGTCAGGGAAGGCCACGCGCAGGCCAGACATGAGGGGAGAGTGCAGGATGACCGCTGCACACTCATACCGGGCGGCCAGGTCCACTGTGGGCACCGTGCCAATGCTCTGCCCATACAGGATAATATTCTCTGGGGTCATGCCATACCTGCAGAGCAAGAGGAGGAAAATATGGTTAAGTCTCTTTAACCTTTGAAAGTAAATCTATGGTAATACCATCTGCTATGTCATCAGATGAAATAGTAATGATAGCAATAAAGCAGCATTTTAAAATGTTCATTTGATCTGAAAAAGAATAACAACATTTTAAGACAGTATCAAAGGCAGGTTATCTTAGACTAATATGAATAATCCAACCACTAATTAATTGCCTGGACATCCATTTATGTTCAATAGAAAGTAGAGATGGCAGCAAACCAATAGCAGGTACTGGGTATGGTACCAGGTACTGGTATCAGGCAGATATCAGCAGAAAATGCTGGATTGGAATATTGCATAGATAGCATATACATGGCCAACATTTAAATGCTCATCTTCAGAGAAGTGCTTCAGTTAAAAAATAGCCCTGTAACCTTTAACAGAAAAAATACTGGATTTGTATCAGCCTATAATTAAGGTTTTATTATGAGTATTGGAAAAGAAAAAGTGGCATTTTGCCATCTCTAATACAACGTGTAAGAAATGTCAACAAATGTCATGAACGCGTATCTTAAAGCCCCTGCTTCAGGGCCACTATACAGAAAAGTAGGTTTATATGTAACTTTATGGGCTTGAGGCAACAGCATTTACATACACTACCTTTTATGCAGAGTAGAATAGAAATGAAAGATCATAGATTATTTCTACAATTGATAAACCTAGTGACTAATACTAGATTAATCCACTAATATAAATATTATATCTGCTTCAGTTACTCTCCCTTTGCCTTATGCATCATTCTGGTTTACAAGCAATTTCTTCTTTCATATTGCAACAAAAAAATAGGTATCACCCCCTAAACTTCCTGAACTGTACTGCAGTTCATCAGAACTGCTGTGTTTATTATGTAAACATTATAGAGCACTTTAGGGAAACAGCACATCATACAGGCAGCAATAAAATAATTTTCATAATCAGTGCCATGACTACTAGTCATTTTGTTGACTAATAGTTGTAGCCCTACACTCTCAGGAATATAAGCTACGAATCTGTCACTGGGGTGGTACCCTCAATGGTACATCTCAGTACCTTTAGTCAGGGAACATAATTGTACCATAATCCATTGAAATCATATTTTCTAAGTTGTATTGGCTCCCCGTCTCGTCTCCAGGCTTTTTATTTTATTGTTCTGTTTTAGAACATTAGGTTATGAAAAGGTACAAATATGTACTTTTAACCTGGAAAAACTTATTTAAGGTACATAATTGGACCTTAAACCACTGTTGTACCTTTGAGGGAACATTTACCTGGTTTGTACCTTGATGAACGAAACATGTACCAGCACAGAACCTTTATTTCTAACAGTGTATCAACCTATATTTAGCTGTATGTACTTGTGTAATTTTCTCTCCTCATTGGCAAGCTTTTAAAGCTTTCAGGATTTCACTGATGTTCATGAAGAAATTAATTTTGTAGCTTCAGAGTAGGGCTGTCACCATAAATTACATTAATAATAATTAACAAGTAAATTCTCTGATTATTAATAAACAAATATAAACCAAAATAAACAATGTACATTATTTCAAAGATAGCCCTTAATTAAAAAAACCTAGGAAGTCTTTAATAAGACTACATTAACCTCTTTCTGCAGGCACCTAATGGCCATTCCTCTGTCACAATGGAAACGAGCTCTGATATTTTTAACTAATATAATTATATACACAACATCTTTCTCTTGTCTTATTAGTCTTGTCTTGTCTTATCAGATTAACCAGGACACTGTTTACTCTCTGTGCATGAGTGTTGAGCTGCTAGCGAGCAATGAGACATGAAAGGGGAGGGGTAAGACCCCTCTGCTGTGAAAACTGTCCTCATCTCTCCACAAAAGATGGTCGTGCTGAGATAAAATGGTCAGCAAAACTGCAGCTTTCTTGATATAGAAAAAAAAATTATGCACAACTGCCAAAATAACAGCATTTAAATGCAATACACTTTTAACTACTGACTTGCTTGCTTACAAACAGAAATAAATTAGTTCAATAATATATTATATAGACATTACTGAAGAAAAACATGTTTAGGTCTAGTTCAATGGAGGGAGCTTCAAAACAGATGGAAATGGCTACTGTGTAAAGGGTTTAAAGCTAAAAACATTTATAAAAAATGCAGAGATGCATGATAACAGAATCATATTCATATCTGCTTAAAAAATCCAGCATTCAACAGATGATTCGATTTGACTGAGATAATGTAATGATAAAGGTTTTGTACTCTGAAAGAGCAGAATATTTAGGTGATGCTGGGTTACAGTACTAAAACATCCACAATTCATAAATTATACTGCATTTGTCAGCCTACATATATTTTTCTGTAATGCTAATCCAGCTAGATTTACATTTTATAAACATCTGTATCAGCTGCAGATAAGTGCATGAAAATAGCAGATATTGGCCTCAGACCATTTCCATACCAGTTCATCCCTAAATCAGTGTCCAACAGGCTCTTTTTATTATGGTACAATAGAACTGCAGGAGATTTGAAATTGAATGATTATCTTTCCTGATTCGTGAAAAAAGTAATGTTTTAATTCATGTTGTCTTAAAGTAATCCATTTTAGTCAAGCAATCATGACTGTCTTAATGCAAAGTGAAACAGAAGGTTGGCCTGAGAACTTAAAGCACTCATCAAATACGTATCTCAAGTTCAAGGTTATGTGACCTTTAAGAAGATATAATCTCCCAAACTCTGCTGAAAACAATAGACAATAAAACAAGACATTTTTCCCAGTATCAGCATTGCTGAATAATAATTCCAGCCCTAGCAGAGGCTATATTTCAGCTGTTCTGTTCTGTAGTGTTCTTTTCCCCCCTGTTGGCAGGCTGTGCGCTGAGGTTGTGGCACTGCTACCTGATCAAGCAGACGGCGGTGGTCGGGTTTATGCTTGGGTCACACGCGGGGCGGGAATGGTGTTCGATATCTGACCCACGCGCTGGCTCTGCTTTACTCAGGGCTAACCCCATGCAAGGCGAAACCAGCTGGGGAACAAAACAGCCACAACCACTCACACATACACACACGCTCAGCATGGAATGTACTGGTGAGTCTGTCCAAATTTCTGAACTCAACAAACCACAACAACAGCTTTATCAGGTATCTGAATGCAGGCAGTCTCTCAAACCTCAGCGTCTCTCTCTCTCCCTCCCCTCCCTCTCAGACAGATCTCACAAACATAGAGGTTTGTTTTTGTACATTGTCAGGATGTGGGTTGTTCAAAAGTATCTAGACAGTCCTTCCAGTGAATTCAGCTGCTTTTCCCAGCTTGTAAAAACTCCAGAGAAAAGCACTGAGCGCTCCGCAGCTGCTCATGAGCCTAACATTTGGAGTGATCCAGAACTGACCATCCAACATCAGTACCTGAACTCACTAATGCTCAATCAAATTCTCACAGCAATGTCCCAACATCTAGTGTAAAGCCTTCCCAGAAGAGCAGAGGCTGTTACTGCAGCAAAGGGGGGCAAATGCCCTGTTAATTAGAATTAGAACAGTTAAAATGTTCATAAATCAGAATAGAATTAAATTAGATCCACTAGAGGACAGCGCACAGTTTACTCACTACTCATATATACTTTCAATGGCCCATATGATGGAAAATTAAATTTACTTTTATATTAACAAGAGATTGATGCATGTAAATATTTTGTTGTTTCAAAACGCACTATTCACCTGCCACTTAATTCAGTCTATTTATGTAAACTAAGTTGTATACCCATCCAGCCTATAATGGCTTTGACCTGGTCATTCATGCTAAAGTTAAAAGGAGTGTTTTAGCCTGGACTGCTTTTTGACTTAGGTACAACACAGAACAGGCCAAAATAAGAATAGAGCCCATTTACATATATCAGTCTTACAGGCGCAGTAACAAAAGCAGCCTGTTTAATCCTAAACGATAAAGAGAGGAAGGAAAACGGTCAGGTAAAAGTGAATTACAACTAATTTCTGTACATACAAAATCATACAAATGTTATAAGTGGACGTCAGTGAAAATAAATAAATAAAAATGTAGGATATTGGCCCTTTAATGGGACATAGTGTGAGTAGGTTTGTAACATTACATATTGGGACTTAAATACATGTCCTATATACATAATTTATGCAAGTATCTATATGCAATAGGCATTTTCTTAAAGCTAATGCTAAATTTGATCTCACAAAGCAATAAGAAATGTTTATTTTTTTCTTTCAGTTTTTAAAAAAAATGAAACCGAGCTTGTATAAAAAGCCAGTTACAGGTCATAACCACTTTGCTGGTCCAGAAAAGGCTGGTTAACCCCGTCTTTTTGTGTTTCCTAAAAGGTCAAGACATTGTAGTCCTAAAAATGTACAAAAACAAACCCAGACACACTGAGGTGATCAAGGATGTGGGAATGGCCCAGACAAACAAACCGAGGAACACGTGACTAATCCAGCCGATAAATCATGACATTCAGACATTGCTCACAGATGATCAGTCCTCTCTGGAGACAGAGAGCGGGAACGGCAACTCAATGCTGGGCAAAGCTCGAAAAGCAGTTCTGAAGAATACAGCATCACGCAATGCACAAAAACATCAATGGAACCCTGAACTTCATGAACTTCACAGAGCCAATGTGTAATGAAGGCAGCCAAATGTGAATTTGCTAAATGGCAAAATGACATACACAACCCAAGCAGGAAAACATTTATCCCCCAAATCCCACACATCAGCGTGGCATTATCTGCAGTAATGTGCACCAGAGGCCAAGACACTATTTTAGAGCAAGTTCGGTTTCTTTATAAGATCCCAGGGGACAAGTCCTTTTGTTCAGAACATTCAGAGACAGTAAATATGATCTCTATCTTCTACCTGTGTGAAAGAGAGAGAGAGAGAAGCAAGAAAAGAGAAAAAAATTGGGAGAGAGAGAAAGGAAGAGACGAGAAAGATCTTCCATGAGCAACATACATTTTCCTCCAATTAACAGATGAGTAAGTACA